TTATTATTATTTTTTTTAAAGGATTTTGGTGTGTGTTAGTTTAGACCTCTACTTTACATACTGTGGTTCTAACTGAGGTACCTGCAAATATTCTTGGTTACATTCTAAACAAGGCCAAGGAGCCCTGAAACAAATATGAGGTTCAAACAGGCATTTGGCTCATATGCATGCTCCTTTTTGGTTTTTGCCCCTCTCTGTTGATTCCAGAATGTGATGGATGACTACATTAAGCAATTGGCTTTGAAACTGGGAGGGGTGGGGCCCACAAGCTAGCTATCTAATTGAAGCCTGTGTTTGCATATTAAAGCACCATCACTAACATTTTGATGTCACTTTACATTGGCATACCTATGTACAGGTATACTTAGTTAGCATTTGTCTACAAAAGTAGTACATTGGACCACTTATCTTTATTTTATGTTACTACATAGTCCAGAGGCTAACCTATAACATTTAGGGCTCCTTCACACCAGCTGCATGCTAATATGTTTTGTTTTAGTATGTAGCTGGTGTCTGATGGTTGGCAGCAGTGTGTAGTGGTGCCATGCCCTGTTTCCTTTTATATCTTTATTGGCAGTGTACAAAGTGTACACTCAATTCTGGTCTCCATACAGCACTATGGTGCGGTGCTGCAGAAAAATGCAACATTTTATTTGCACCACACATCACATCAGCTTTGTGGTGTAGACGGAAGCATAGAAAACAATTGTTTTTAAGCCCTAGTGGTGACCTGCATTGATCCGCTGCAGAAAAACGTAGGTCACCGCTGTATGTGTGAACAAGTCCTAATTGCTATGCTCAGCACATGAGTTCTCCTTTTGGTTAACTTTTTTTTATTTTGGATATGTGGAGAATTGTATAAATTTGTGAACTGTTATTCTTGATTCAAGTCAGAATTATCACAAAGAAACAAATTAAACTCATGTTCAGAGTTATGAGAATGGCAGTGCCTTAGGCCTTGATATAGCTCAGATTGTATAGCCAAACACCTGTAATTAGTTTTCTGCTTATACCAAGTATTTCATCTCAACTCCCAGACAAGGTCCTCTGAGGCCAAGCTTTTGGTGTATTCACTATCAGGGAAGCTTCATTTATTTTACCATTTTAACAGAATACTGGCAGGCAGAAAGTAAAAGGCTGCTATTGATAGACCTGGCCCTAAATATATCACACTTAGCTCACTTTACTGGCAAATTCCATTGCATAAACTGCACGGTCTGTTCTGTCTTTCTATTATTAATATGTATGTACAGTATTTTTCTTCTTAATTATTCACTTAAAGGCTTGTTTACTTACCAAGGCTGTGAGTTTGCACTCTCACTTGAGGAAAATTCTCTTCATCAAAACTCTAAAAGGAATTATATAAAAATGTCCACCCCATTGAAGTTACCAAATTGCTGTGCTTTCCTACAACATATAATGTGTTCCTTAGTACATGTACTACTAAATTCTAACATGAAACACTTCAATGTGTTGTGCTCCTTGAATGCAACACACTGAATTTATGCATAACACATACATTTCCAGAGGCATGCATTGTGGGACTTAGCTTAGAAATGTATTCCACTTTCTTTGGCTTGGAAGTTCTTACTGCTTCCATTATGTAAATAATTGCTCTGTGTTATTAGCAGAGGTCTACTTTTCAAACCTTGAAGTGAACCTTTCCGTAACTTGTCTGCATGAATGAATGAATTTCTGACATGTCTCAATATACAACAGAACATTTTTTTTTTAAACACCACTTTTTATCAGTTGTCTTTGAGCTCTAGCTAGGTGTCTTTGGCTGGTCTGAGGTAATATCATCAGTCTACGGTAGGCAGGAGAAAGCATTTCTTCAGTCTTGTGCCCCCTTCCTTAAATGAGCAGATTACAATGTTTTAAGTGTGTAGCAAGTTACAATGTGAGAGGCTGCTGCAGGGGCTTATCTGTGTGAGACTTTTACATATGTGAACACAATATCATCTTACTGTGTGAACACCAATTTTAACAACTGCACAGGCTGGATGATGCTGGAACAAAAATGGCATTCTAAGGGGGTGTACTGCAATCTCTGTGAGAAGTAATTATTACCTTGAAATATCACACTAACACATTACTTAGCATGCATTAGCATGAAAAAAAATTATGGTAGGTACACTTTAAGGAACTGATGGGAAGATGGTAAAAAAACTGGTCATTCAATGAACTGGTCAAATGACCAAATCATCTAATGCTCTTGCTTTATGACCTGGTCCTTATGTTGACAGCTGGTCACACACACGGGTCACACAAACGCTGCAATCTTGTTGTGTAATCTATTAAATTTGGGTTGAATGGTAGAAAAACTAAATATCTTACATCTGAACTGTAAGATAGGCTGACAGAAATGTTTAGTACCACCTGAATAATATTTTGCGTAAAATACGACCTGTTTATGTAGTTTGCACCCGATACTAAAAATGCAAGAAAAATTGAAAAATAAAAACAAGATTTGTGCATTTGCGGCTATTGTCTTTGAA